ACTACTTACGATATATCTTGAAAAGTTGGATATAGTTCGCTCTCATACCCAAAACGTCTCTTAAAGAAATCACGGATACAGTTCACATCTCTTTCGAAGTAGGCTTCTGCGTTTTCATGCTCTGTAGAAACCATCTGCGGAAAATCAATGATAACAGGCTTGCCATTATCTTTGATCATTATGTTAAATTCATTGAAATCTCCATGTATAACACCATGATTCGCCAGTCTAACAATCAAATCCATGAGCTCGTCGTACAATGCTTCCACATTGTTTACTTCATTTACATTACACCTAAATAAGATAATACAATTAAAATATTATATATAATTAAGTGGTATTTAATTAGTAACAGAAATATCATTGATAAACTTACAAAGGTCCACCTTCAACCAGCTCCATAACAACACAATGCCTGTTGAAGTCAATTGGTTTTGGTACAGGGAAACCTCTATCCAGAAGTGCTTTCATATATGCAAATTCTCTGGTTGCAGCAATTCTTGACAAGTACAACCAAGATGCGGAATGTCTGTGCTGATGGTAATCTCTTTTTTCTTTGATGTTTCGAAAGCACGTTCTACCCAGTCTGTGTAACTTTAGACAAAGCGATGTCTCGTCCTCGTTAGCGACAACATAAATATTAGATTCCTTGCCAACGCCGATCTGATTACCAAAGGAACATATTGTTCCTCTTTGTGTTAAGACCTTCAAGGCTAAATAATCATAACCTCTGTTCGTCAAGCGATAACCATCATCTGAAAATTTTTTATTTATTATCAAATGTTTTACACGTATTATTAATAGAATCTATGGGACGGTTTCGCTATCTCCGATTAGCTGTAACCTTCGATTAAACTCACTCTTCGTCTCCTTCTAAAGAACAGTTATGTTTAGTTCGATCAAATTAACTTTAATCTCGGTTTAATTTACTTTTTATCCCTCTTTAGTTCTAAGAATTAGAAAGAGATAAAACGTAAGTTAAACCGAGATTAAAGTTAATCTACATTGACAGACATAAACATTAGAAAGAGATGAAGAATGAGTTTAATAAAAAATTATAGTTAATCGACATTGGTGAAACTGGCCCTATGGTCACATGTAAATTTTAATGCCTTACATCGCTTGCCTCGTTCGTAACTAAGCAATTTGTATTTGCACATTTCTTTGAGCAATTTATGAACTCCACCGTAACGCAGATTCGCTATTTGTGCGGCAAGTAGAGCAGGTACAAGTTCATGATTTTTCATACCCATTTCAATCTGAAATATGAGAAACGGATGTAGAACTGTTATAATTGGAAAAAAGAAAAACAATGGAATATACAGATCCAACAAAAGCTTATTAAGGATCTTGTAATTCACAAACGAATATAGGTTAAAAAATGCATACCGCTGTCAAAACACGAAAGTATTCCGCGGTTAAATACCGCAATATCTTTACGTCCAGCTTTCCCATGTTTATTAGATTGCAGATAAAGTTATGAACGATTCATATAATTCAGACGGCTTTATCTCAAAATGTTAAACATTCCAATTGGAAATTTCATGCACACGTGCGACATACGACTAGAAGCTAGAAGCTACCAGTGCTACCATCAGTGATGCCCATGAAATGTAAAAGCCCTGCTGCAGCATTGATACACAGCTTCTGATAGGCTGAAAATCTAGTAAGAGCCTTTACTCTGATTGGCTAATATTCCACCTAGAGAGCCCCCACCTGGGGTACGTTCCAAAACTCTACTCCGTCAACTCTAAAGAACCCAAGGTAGTGGGGAGAGAGTAAGCCCAGAGTAAGTTACTCTGGTTGAACGATTTGGAACGTTGAAAAAGTAGTATTAGCAACGAATAAAATGGAAGCTCAACGAGCTCAACGAGCTGTTTAATGAAATTAGTTTAATGAAATACTCTACTACTTAACTTACCATTTCGTATTCTTTTATGCATCTCGGGTGTTGTCGTAATGTTGTATATTACACCTTCGATTATTATGCCCTTATAGAAATTTAATACTGTAAGTGATTTTTTGGCTAGTGATTAATCATTTTTTTGATTAAGCACTATTAACAGTGCTTTTAATAGTGTTTTTAAGTGATTAATTACTAGTCAAAAAATCACTTACAGTATTAAATTTTTATAAGGGTGTACTGCTGTTCTGTGAGATCCATTTTGTCTATTTTATACTTTGTAAACAATAATATAAATTTATAATATTATTTGTATATATGTATGATACTGATACTTCAACAATGTTTTAGGATTGAAAGTTAACCTTAACCTAACCTAATAAATTTTACTTTTTTTTAAAGTAACTCAATTCTAAAACAGACTAAAAAACCATTAAAAAAGAAATTAATATGCTCATTTATTATGTGTGATATATAAAATACTTTATCTTGTGAGGTCGCTTAATGGCCAGGCCGGGAAATAATATTATTTTATATGTATATATAAATGTACAGGGTTGGGTACGTCCCTACAAAACGCTCTTTCAGACCCGGGTAATAAAGTATCATTTCTAATTCTAATATAAAATACTTTATCTAATTTTAATATTATACTCTCTTACTTATCACAGCAACGGCCAACGTTTTCGCGGTGTATAGAGACAATTGCGCTTATATGTTCTAAGATCCCGCGTTTATATTCAAATTTAGTAGAGTTTACTCTCCTAACCCACCTCGGAAGCAGGGTTCATAGAGTTAACTCCGGGGTTACTTTACTCTCACTTTTGGAACGAATAGGCTCCGCCCATATAGTTACTTACTTCGCGTTTTGGAACGGCGTAGGGTTAACCCTGCTACTCAGAGTAGAGTTTTGGAACGTACCCCTGAAGATTAGCCAATCAGAGTAATTACGTTCCGCTATTTCTTTCTCCATGGGGATGCAGCTTTATGCATTCAGCGCTGCATGCAATCGCACGATGAATCCCGCAAAAAGACCGATCGAGCTGTGGAGTGTGGACGGAGCCGCTCGAAAGAGTCGATCGGTCGCTCTTCCTCGAGATCACTCGACAACGGTAAAAAAAAAAGAAAATAAATAAATAAAAAAACAAACGCAAACCGGTGCGTTGAACCCTCAATCGCGCGTAAAGTGGTGAACTGCGACGGCTGTGCGTGCATGCGTGAGCGTGAGTCAGACGGTTGAGACGGTCGCGTTAAAATTATGAAAACGCGTCCGCGCGCCGAAACGACAAGGCGCTGAATCCGCCCAATTCGACCGTCGCCGTGGGCGTTGTGGGCAATGGGCAGAGCCGGCGCGTTCCCGACTGTCAAGCACGTCTGAAAATTCGTTGACCATCGTCGACCACCGCAGGTACGTGCGTCCGGAGCCCGAAGCTCCGAACACGATGAACGCAAAACGGCTGAGTCCCGTCTCGACTCGATTCAAGATTTCAAGGCTACGCTTGTTTACGACCAACAACGGTCGGCTGGCACGCCGGGCGTCCCGCGTTCGCCCACGCAATACCCCTACAAATCATTCGTCCGCGAGACAAGAATGCGATAACGGCAAGGTTATACGAGAATACCGCGTTATCGCCGATAGTCGGGAGAGAGACGCGTCGTGCGCGCGCGCGCGCGTTTCCGCCCGCCCGCCCGTCGAAGCTCATTAAACTTGGTTGAAACTTCACGGGGGATTCGCGGGAGTTGCGACGCTCGCTCGATCGCGCTAAAAACGCAGCGGCAGCGAAGTTCGGACTTTGCCATCGGTGCTTTTTAAGTCATGATCACGTAGAAAAGTTGCCGCGTCCGTCCGCGTGGATCACACGCGAGAACTCGCGACCGTCTCCATTCGTCACGCTTCGGTTATCAGTTTCGCTATCTCTTCGAGGGAATTCTGTGAGTCACGTTGCGTGAACTAATTTTAATTTTGTAATTCCTCGAGTCACGAGCCTCTATTGGCAATTCAGCCCGATCGTGATTCGTGACACGTACGTGCGCCAATGTTGCTGATGTGTTAACTGTGTGTACGTCGATACGCTGTGTACGTATACGGGCGTGTTATGCGACAGGAATTGAAGGCCGGATCAATCTTCGCTGCGAAGTTTGAAAATAGTTACTCTCGTTTACCGGGCACGACTGCCATAATTTAGGTTAATGAGAACTGTCACGATTACGAAACGCGATCGAAATTCCACGGCAGTTGTATAGCAAGTGATATTTACGTATACGTAGAATAAACTGTTGTGCTTTGAATGGCGCGTGGTCGTAGATTATTGTACTTAGAACTTGCAAAATGCGTTATTGTTAAATGTATAATTGTAATTTGCAGGAATAATGTTGAACAGTATAGCAAAACATATTTTGCACTGCTGCCTGCTGCTCGTGGTCATATTAGTGTTCGAATTTGTATCCGGAGGCCTTCGATGGAACACGGACGAGAAGGAAGAGATTGATCCATGGACAAGATACGGCATTATCGGTTCAATCACGTTGTACCTGCTGCGCACAGTGACGTTTCTCTCATTGCCTCAAGTTCTATTCAATTTCATAGGATTAACGATATACAATGCATTCCCTGACAAAGTTATCTTGAAAGGCTCGCCCCTGCTCGCACCATTTATCTGTATAAGAATAGTGACCCGTGGAGATTATCCACAATTGGTGAAGTCAAATGTGAAGAGAAACTTAAACAAATGCATAGAGGCTGGTCTCGAGAACTTCCAAATAGAAGTGGTGAGCGACAAGCCGATAGGTTTGACGCCTCATCGCAGGGTGAGAGAAGTTGTTGTCCCACCGAATTATCGCACAAGTAGTGGTGCCTTATTTAAGGCTCGTGCTTTACAATACTGCCTCGAAAGCTCGGTAAACGAATTGGCTGATCACGACTGGATTGTCCACCTTGATGAAGAGACTCTGTTGACTGAAAATTCCGTTCGCGGGATATTGAACTTTGTACTGGATGGCAAACATCAATTTGGTCAAGGATTGATCACGTACGCTAATGAAGATGTTGTTAACTGGATTACGACTCTGGCTGATAGCTTCAGAGTAGCGGACGATATGGGAAAGCTAAGATTACAGTTCACTATGTTTCACAAGCCATTTTTTAGCATGAAAGGATCGTATGTTGTCACGCAGGTAATTACTGATAATTCATCAAATTTGTATAATCTCATAATAGCTTTATATAAATTTTTTTTAAAGATGTATCACTTTTTTATATACATATATACTAGAGATGCGCGAATCAAGGATTTTTTATATCGAATTGAATCGTTGAAATATAACTTTTAATTAACAATTTATTATGAGTTATTATGAGATTGAATTTTAACACGTAGATAATAAGAGAACATTTTAATTTGGAAAAATAATATTGATTATATAATATAAATTCTTTTTAAAGCAAAAAATTTAAATATTTAATACGAAACTAATAAAATATATTTTATATATGTCGCAGTAATTAAAACAATTAAACGAAAAATCATAGATAAATTATTACAATACTCTAATGTAGTATCCAATAACATTATCTAATTACGTACATAAAAATTAAAATAAAGTGATATAGTTTATTCTATTATCAATACTCATGGCTTACTATTTTTTTACGAATATTTAACCTTTACTTATAATTTGATAGCGTCACAGGGCATGTAACAAATTGGGAATAAACTTGTTAACTGCTATACAATAAAAATATAAATATATCTATTTTAACACTTATTAAAGCAGTGACGTTTACACAAATATATCTGTTTTACTTTTACTATTTTTACGACAGGTTTTTTTGAATATGTATTACAGATGGCAGCGGAAAAACAAGTTTCGTTTAATAATGGATTAGACGGATCCGTTGCGGAAGATTGTTTCTTTGCGATGAAGGCATTTTCCCAGGGATATACGTTCAACTTTGTAGACGGCGAAATGTGGGAAAAATCACCGTTTACTCTGTGGGACTTTGTACAGCAGAGAAAAAGATGGTTGCAAGGTATATTACTTGTCGTGCATTCCAAAGCGATTCCATTGAGAAAAAAATTGTTACTGAGTATTTCGTGTTACTCGTGGGTGACGATGCCTCTCTCTACTTCTAACATTGTTTTGGCCGGATTATGTCCGATTAATTGCCCGCCGTTGATTGACTTTCTTTGCGCGTTTATCGGCGCGGTAAATATTTACATGTATGTGTTCGGAGTAGTTAAATCGTTCTCTCTATATCGTTTCGGTGTTGCTCGATTTATACTATGTATATGCGGTGCATTATCCACTATTCCGTTCAATATAATCATCGAGAATGTTGCCGTGATATGGGGCTTGTTCGGTAAGAAGCACAAGTTCTATGTCGTTAACAAGGAATACAGGCCGCCAGTGACTGTGTGATGCGTCATCAGTTTAGAGCTATTATCTAACTGGTGCAAACTTAGCAACAGCGTAATATTTCCATTGTGCATGTGCATAATTAGTACCTGTAAATTTATATAGGAAAATATATCACTGTCACAAATGAAATATTTATAACTAGTATTACGTAGGAATTACAAAATTCCTAAGATAGATCGATCGATCAATTTTAAAACAGGCAAAAATGAAAGGTGTAATGTATGCAGCAATAGGTAGGCGGCAGTATTAGAAGCGTATTCTACATTGGCATTAAAACATTGCCAAATTTGTTAAAAGTATTAATATGTCAAAAATATATTTATGCCAATATCATATTCTCATAGTGCAAATTATACATGTCATATATATATATACTTTGATCTCATGTAAATGTCGTGTAAATGTTTAGCATTCTTTAAGTTACATATCATTTTACATGTTCCTTGCATCTATTTTTACCGTGTTCAGAAATATCTTATTTTTGCCATATCACAGTATTCTCTTCTTAATATTGTTTCACGAAGTGTTATGCATGCATATCACCATAATTTCATATTAATAACAATGTCTGAGATGTCTAAATTTTTATTTAGACATTTATCAGTTTTTTAAATAGTAATAGGTCATTTAAATGCATCATTAATTCGAAAAACTGTGATAAATCTTACTTTTTTACATAATAACAATATCTTTATTTAAAAAATATAAAAGCTCCTATTACCTAATACAAACAGAAATTTAAAAAATGATATATAAGATGAGTTACAAAATATATCATTGTCTTGATACTAAAGTAGTTTTCATAATTTGTACTTTACAAACTTTTAATTAATTACAAATTGTAATAGTACATTTAAAACATCAATATAATTGATATATATATACTGTACTTAAGGTTAATTAATTGTTTAACGAGATATGAAAATTCTTAAATATAAAAACATGTATTATATGTTACTTCTTGATAAAAATCGAAAAATCATATATTTCTTATAATTAACTTAATTAGTGAAAATTATGAACAAATTATGAAGATATACATATGTGGAGGAGTTATAAATTTTAATAGAAAGAACATAAATGTAAAAATCTAAATTAATTTTATGAAATCTATTGAATTAAACGTTAAATTTTGAATTGCCGTATTCTTAAAATTTGATAATCATTTTTTTTTTTTTTAAAGGCATGTTAAGTCGATACTCGCATGTTTATATAAAAAAAATGTGAGTCTAATGGTAAATTTTTTAGATAGTGTGATTTTGTTGTGCACTGCATGAAATTTTACTCATTATATTATTCATATAAAAAGAATCACTCATGAAAAGATATATAAAATACATAAATTGTCATTTTGTTACAATTATACATTTTTATGAAATATTTTGTATCAACATTTTTTTGGTATCGACATTCGCAATAATCCATCTTTTAAATAATTTTTTAAATGGCTTTTTAACTTACTAAAAAAAATAGGGCTTCCTAGAGCTTTATATATTAATATGAATTTTGTGTAATGTACATTTTCATAACTCCGTAAATATTTTATGATTTATGACAAAATAATGGAATGGTTTTAGAAATAACAAAGCAATATATTTAGCAAGACTTATAATATCTAGTCAAGAAGGAATAAAGCACATGAAATTTACGTCATAATGCACGTATAATAATTAATATAAGCTGTTATTAGCACTATATTACTGCGATGAGATATTATTTCCAAATATTTTGTGTTCAAATAAAAAAAATTTATACTTTTGCAGATATCTCTGAGAGTATTTTGACTCTTTAATAATTAAATTTTAATAATAAAATTTTACACATGTAAATTAACGTGTATAAATGATTAGTGCGACTTTAAAGTAAATTTTAAGTGCTATGTTTGACACTTAGAAATGTGTTTGTGCTAATGCAGAGTTAACATTGATATTACAAAGGTCACAATAACTTATATAACTTCACACAGCGTCACTACATTCTTCACGTAATTATTTTCTGTTATAATCGGATCATTTCATAGTATAGCAATTTACTGTTGCATATTATTATACAATCATAGATTCGTGCATTGCATTGCGCTCTATACGTTATTCTCTCTATAAGATATTCACATATGTATATTAATATGTTTTTTAAGTATTTTAAGTATGTTTTTTTAGGTATTTTATTTTGTTGTGTCAGTGAAAAATGAACAAGCCCATTTATACACTAGTCTCGTATAATAACCATTTATTTCATTGTCCTAACAGCAATATCAGTTAATTTAATATATCAAACATAATAAATATGAATAAATGCACAAAAAATATGAAATATATATTAATTTGAGAGATAAATGTAATCAGGATTTCTCAAACTCGTTTGGATTAAATTTATTTTATTTATTATTATAATTTTTTTGTCGATATTACTTCTCTCCCAAATATTTTTCCAAGAGGTAAATGTAAAACTACAGTAATCTACAAAACTATCTTGAAATTGGCTAAAAATGTTTAATTTAACGTCTTATTATCTCGATGTAAAATTTATATCTATTTTTCACCTAGCGATTACGAGTTCGGGAATTTCTGAATCACGTATTAAGTGAATCAAATTGAATGAAACAACAATATAGATTTTTTTGTAACGCGAAGAATAATAACAACAATTGTATAATACAATTGTATAATGAACAATAATAGGAACATTTGCATAATGTGAACAATTTTGTATAATTCTTTAGTATTATTTTATATAATTTTATGTAACGTTAACCTTTTATCTTTTATCTTTTATCTTATCTTTTATCAGACACGATTTGATTTTTATCACACATATGTACTAAATTAACTAAATTATATTACACAAAATTTCTCATCATGTAGCGTATTATATTATTAGCAAAGAAATTTATAGTGTTATCATGATCATAACTACTGTAAAATTCCGAATTGTTATAACAATTGCAACTGACTATAATAAGAATAACATTAAGAATATTGGATGATACATTATTAAGAATATTGGATGATACAATATTGAAAAAAAAGAATAATAAAATTGGAAGTAAAAATTGCTTCAAAATATCTGTATTTTTTATCTCCAAGCTTATAATCTTTTCTTCTTTTTTTTAATTTTACGATTTTTATTATCACTAAATGATAGTAACAATGGTAGGGGATACGATTTGTGAGGAGTTATTGTATTCTTTTTCATCATTTCGGCAAAATTGCATAGAGATTATTCGTTGGATCGCCGACTTTCGACAACACACTTATAAAGATCAACTTAATAAGCAATTAATTCAACTGATAATTTCTTACAAACATTTCTAATTATAATTCGTTGTTTCTAATTTTCTTTTCCATGTATACTAAATAAAAGATTATTCTATCCAATAGAATATTAGAGATATCAATTGGCAAGTTAATTGTCAATTAAGTTAGATTCGAAATTTAATCATTATTTGATGCATGATAGTGTGGAATAATTTACATCGAAGAAAAATACTAGAGACTTTTTTCATCCACGGACTTTCGAGATTCCCATTCATACCTCTTGGAAACATTTCTAATAGAATGAAAGGGAATAAGACGCTACAGCTGAATGAAGTAGGGTTTAACGAATTAATTTTCTTTCTTATTTGAGCGGTGAATGAGATAGCTCCGAAACCCGCATGCCGACCAAGTTTAATTAAACATAATTTATAGAATATACGAAGATCTCTTGTTATACGATTAAATAGGTATATTTTCATTTATTTTACGTCAAGACAGAATAATAATATTGAAGCGAATCTAATTGCTGCAATATGATTCGTTCGCTATTTTGAACGTTCGATAATCCGCGAATCACAGCGTCGCACTTAAATTTCAAATTGCATTCAGACTTTCAGACTTCAGTAATGAGACGCATCGTGATGTGTGACGGTCGCACTCGAATCGTTCCGCGATTTCACGCGATTGTTTCTGTGTATAAATACAAATCTTGCGGGCGAGAAATTATCGCGAGTGTGTGTGTGTCTTGTTGGATGTTCGTGGCACGTTAAACATCGCATGATTTCGGTATTGGGGATCAACTTCTACGTTCCCGGCATTGACAGAGATCCCGTGCAGGTTTTCTTCGCTGTTTTTCTCTCGCCGTAGATGCAGCGAAAGTGCCAGGTATGTGATCGCTCCGTATAATTAACTGCGCCAGTTTATGCTTTACATTTTTACGAGCTAATAATTTCATTCGTTTCATCGTTCATGATTTTGTACGTAATTTAATGAGTGTCGAGTTCTCGTGATGATCGACAAACGCATTATTATACGAATGAAAAGTATAGAGTTCTATATTATCGGCAAGTGTGACACGGTAGATCAAAAGTACGCGTTTTCGATTGCTTGAAGTTTCCGAAAACGAGGGTCAGATGTCGCTACATACGCGGCAGCGCGCCTAGCGCACCGTCAGATCTGGTTTTTAGGTTATTTTCGAATTAAATGAGTTCTGGTGAGTTCGTTCTCGAAACGAAAGTTTGAAGTTGCGTCAGATATGTGTTGATTGATCATTTTTAAAATATATTTTATAATATACTCCCTCCATATATTCCTACGAAGAGTTATTCAAAGAAGTGTAGCGGTGCGCATCAATTGCGCGTAATGTAAACCTTGAAAAAGTGACTTACAAACTTCAAGTATCCTGACTAACCACAATTACCTCGTGGAACCATATGAATTCTCCACGTGTTCGTAACGCGACTATCTAAATCTTGACAATTTGTCGATTTGTACGCCGGTGAATGAATTATCGATACGATCGTCCGAGATACGATGAATACGAAAGTGTGTAAGAAGGACGTTCTGCAAGCCGTTATTCTTGCGGATGATTTCACAACGGGATTAATTCCGGCGCAAAGTATATACCCGAGCGTCCTAATGCCGGTGATAAACATACCGCTTTTCGATTACATGATCGAGACGTTGATAAAGTCGAGGATACAGGAGGTATTCCTTTACTGCAGCAGTCACGTGGATCTACTGAAAAAGTATACAAAGGAGAGAGTTTACAGAGGCATTACGATATCCCTGATTATTTCCGACGGCTGCAGATCCCTCGGAGATGCTCTGCGGGATATTGATACAAAAGGATGGATCAGGGGATACTTCGTACTGATTCGCGGGAACGCGTTTACCAATACGGATCTTAAAACCTTGCTTAGCGTTCATCGTGCGAAAGTCGAGAAGGATAAGGGAGCAACCATGACTATGGTGTTACGGAATTTTGGCTCGACGAAAGGCTCTTATCTCAACGAGGAAGCGCCTCTAGTTGTATCCGATAAGAGCAGCAATAAAATTCTGTATTACACCAAGCTGAAGGACAGCGGGAAGAAAGTGAAGCTTGAGTTAAACTGGTTCCTCGATCATAGCGAGGTTGAAATTAATTCCTGTCACTTGGATACTCATATTTACTTGTGCTCGCCGTCTGTCTTGCCCCTCTTTGCTGATAACTTTGACTTTCAGGTAAGTAACAAGCTGAGTTACTTTATCACAATTATCTCTAATTATAATATGTAATCAATCAATTAATCAATGCCTCCTCAGATTTTTTGAGGAGGAGGTTTTGAGACAAGATTTTGTGTTTGTCGGGAGTAGGTTGTCAGCCTACTGCCCAACTCCCCAATTCTCAATCTTGACGGTCGGTTTCCTCGGTTCCCTCTTTGAATACAGAGAGGTTTCTTCTGTCAAGATACTCTCGGTGGGTTTGCCATCACCTTCCGAGAGGTGGCGATCGTGGTGATTGAATAAAGACTAATGAATTTGTAGTCAGATTTAAACTCGAATTTTGGATTACTAGAACAGCGCACATCACTCTGCGCCACGATCGCCACAATTGAAATATTTAATAATGAAACAAATATAATTCACCGTGCAAAATATTTTTATGTTTTTAGACTATGGATGATTTTATTCGAGGAGTATTGATGAACGAGGAGATTTTGGACTCGAGGATCTACTGGCAGCAGTTAAACACAGAGGATTATGCCTTGCCAATTACATCGTGGAAAGCTTATCATATGCTTACCCAGGACATTTTGCGTAGACATAGTTTTCCCCTTGCACCAAGTGCTTTCCCCTTATTAAAGAACTTTATATGCATGCCGCGGAGTACGTATAAACACAAAACTGCTACTTTTGCTAAAGGTTGTTTACTAGAAAAAGATTGTATTCTTGGATTTAACAGTTCGTTAGGAAATAATACTAAAGTCGCGAGATCTGTGATCTCGGACAATTGCACCATAGGTAGTAACGTTAATATATATAATTCTTATATCTTTCCAAACGTTAGAATTAAAGATAATTGCACTATTACAAACAGTATCTTGTTTTCGTGTTGCATCGTTAGGTACCGTAGCCAAATAGATGGATGTATATTGTATCCGGAAACTGACATTACCGCTCGCAGTCAATATGTCGATACTGTTATCGAATCTACACCTTCCGGTGTGTCTAAGACTAAGATGTCAGATCTCGAGGCTAGTGACGGATTTTTGTACTTTAAGAACACTGAGGTAACCAACTGCGATGACTGCTCGCTCACAGAGTCGTCTAGCAACGAAGAGAATCTGGAGTGTGATTCTCCAATTCCGGACGACACGAATATGTTCTTGTCCGAAGTTATCGATAGTCTGTTACGCGGTTATCAGGATAAGCTGAATTGCGAGAATTTAATTCTAGAGATAAACTCCTCGAGGTACGCGTACAACGTCACCATCCGCGAGGTGACGTACAATGTCATCAAAGCGATTCTCAGTCTGCCGCTGCACTATCTTTCCGAAACAAAGACTGCCGTTAATAATCAGAATTATCAAAAGAATTTGAAAATTATGATGATCTATTTTAACACTATTATTTCGAATTATATTAAGAACGAAGACGGGCAGGAGGATTGTTTGCGTGCTATAGAAGACGTTGCTAGTACAACCAACGAATTACTGCCGTATACGCAACACCTGTTGCATCAATTTTACGATCGCGATATACTATCGGAGGAAAAGATTTTAGAGTGGTATGAGTCTACTGGCGAAGACGCGGATGCGCTTCATACAAAAGTAAAAAATGCCGTTCAGCCGTTCATTAAGTGGCTGCGAGAGGCAGAGGAAGATTCCTCTGATGAGAGTGACGATTAATATTTTTTATTAAAAAATCTTGACATAAAATATAACTATCTATATATAAATTTAAGAAGAGATTATATGTATATATGTATATAATGCGCGTGATATGTGAATACATTGTTAAAAAATTCTGACAGAATGACACTCTGTTCTCAACTGCTTTATTTTCGTATCAACCTCTTAATGTTTTATAATACTTAATTTTTGAGCAACGATAAATCACGCACAGATTGATAACACGCGCGCCAAATATACTGTAGCGTATGCGTGCGCGTATATCCGTGTAAACTTATACAACACGTTATGTACGTATGTCGATAAAGCCCGCATACTTCGTGTATTTAATCTTGACCTGCTTTCCGATCACCGAAACAGAGCTATCATTCCATGGGTACATCCATCTCCGCCAGATTGTGCCACGCCAAATGTCGATGATCCGGGAACTTGATTGCGTCTAGCCAGTGTCGCAAACGCGCCCCTTTACTACCGCAACCTAACATAAGGCCGCCTGTAAATTGTCAAAATGTACGATAAAATATAAGTATTTTATACAGATCGGATAATAGGTATTTAAACTTTAATTATGGGAACCGATAACTTCGGAATTTTAATTCTGAGTCAGTAATCATAACTATGATAATGGGGAAAACCGCTGTTCTTTATTTAAAATAGGGAAGATAACGTAATTTTTTTTTTACAGATAAATGATAAGTAATGTCTATATCTTCAGGCAAACCAGTCATATAAAATGATCGATAAGATAGAAATTTAATGACGACGAGTCTTGTGATATTTTTAAATCTTAATTTCTAATTATGATTATAATATATATTAATTAAATTTTGCTGTTATGTCATAGCTAATTTATTTCGTTCAAGTGGGATACGAGATCTTGAATTCTGTTTTTTAAGACCGTACACTTTTAACATATGCTCAGAACTTATTGTTAGAAGAAAAAGGGATGTGGAATAACGTGATTAATGATAGTTCGCAGTACCCAGATAATCGTTACTCTTGCCGAAGTCCTTGTCCCACACGGACAGGCATAGCGTCAGCTTCATCAGCTCCGTCAAGCGAGTCGCGAAAACGAACTCTTCGTTCCACTTTGGATTCAGCGTCTTCCGCTTGATGCTCGTGCTCTGCGAGCCGCGGCCGGCCGTCTTCTTCCCCTTTTTGGCAGTAACGCGAGCGGCCGAGTAATCTAGGAACCGTTGCTGCCGATGATTGTCGGTCGCATCCTCGACGAGTGCCAGTTTGACGAATGGGTCAGAAAACCCGTTGCTGTCCATGGGCAGGAGATTCGTGGCACAATGTACCGTGACTAATAGCGCACGTCGACGCGTGCAATAGCTCAGGCTTAGCTGGATCTGCCCGCGACCGCTTGAACACATGCCCCAGGTTTCCTCTTCGTTGTCCACCTGCATCAAAATAATCGACACTGTACACATGTCGATAAGAAATGTTTATTTCCTATATTTTATCATATATTTTGTCGTACAAATTACACAAATGATGAATAATTAATGTTTATCTTAAATGAAGAAAGAGTTACCAGCTTGCCTTCGTTCGCTGTTCTCGTCATACTGAATATAAAAGTTTTATTACGAATAATTTAAATTAGATTAAACATTTGACAGGTTTAATTATATATATGTGGAGATAATTTTGTATGTAACATACTGGATAATGAGCTTGCAGAGAAACTTTGTAATGCTTTGTTTGATATGGTAGCAATTCTTGTAGGGGAAATCTCGCCTCTCCCAGGAAATCCTGGCCCGAGGGATCGTCCTGGATGATTAGAATATGCAATGCCTTGCCGGTCGAGATCTAGTATGAGAAAATTCTAGCATGTACTTATTATCGCAAACGGATTGACATTTATGCGTTATAATATTGATCTTTACGTCGGTTTCTGTCGTTCCGTAAAAGTTCACCGTCTCGTTGAACTCGGGATCGCGCGTCTTGTGCACCGTCTTCGTTCGCAGTCGTCTGCTCGTCGATGCCTTCCCGACGGGCAGTATGTTCAGCTTGCAAAAAGGGTCGGCGAGACCTTGGATATCCATGGGCCTTAGACGACGCGCACGTTCCACCTTGCACTGGAGGCACTGATCTGCCGGGTCGTATCGCAAGGAGACTTCGAGATTTCCATAATCTTGTCCCGTTTCTGTTTCGTCCCGTTTCAAAAGTTCGGTTTTAATATGTTTAATTTTCTTCAAATTAGATTAAACTACACACGATTATTGATTTTCTATTGCTGTATACAAGTTATGTCCTTAGTCTTTTTCTCACTAAAATTTTGGATCTTATCATTTTTAATGTCTCAAGTTCTAATGATATCTTGCTAAATAAGAACATCTTTGATTTTGTATGAAAGTATGAAATTAATTTACACAAAATTTTGTGTCATTTTTTAGTTTGCTAAAATGCTTTTTTAATTATTCATAATTATTATTTTAAAATTGTATTTATGTCTGTAGATTCTTATTTAAATTTCAATGTTTAACAAGAAATGTTATTCCAGAGTGGTCTTTTTTCATGAGATCATATAACATTTTATTTAAACAAGATAAAAAATTAATTATTTAGTAGTAAAAGCTTTATGTAAAAAAAAAGTTACGTTAATTAGTAATTTATGTGTTTAAATGACGAAAAATTTTCTGACCAATAACTGTAGTTTTCTTATTGCTGCTAAGACATTTTTATTGACCTCGTGGATATTCCGGGGTTCTTGAGATCTTCACTTGACTGTTGCTGCGAGTGCTGGATGAGCTCTCCTGATCCGAGGACCTGCTCGCGTTCCGTTCTGCGTTCTTCTCTTGGAAAATCTTGCCCATAGTCTGGAATCGCGTTTCGACTGGCGTGGTTGGCGTCGTCGCTATCGTTGGTGCCTTTAGTCTACGGAACGGTGATACCTCGCGTAAGTTTGGACCTCGACTCCGCACATCATTGTTCTTACCTTACCTGAGAGATTGTACCTGAGAGCCCTTCGATCGGTCCAGAGATGTGGAAGCGTCCTTGCGAGTCTCCTCGGTGTCTTCCTCCTCATCTTCATCCGCCTCATTAGCCTTCTCGTCATCTACGAAAATATTTTCGAAGGACACGCGTTGCTCCACTTGCGGTTCGTTCGGGCTTTTGCCGCTTGCCCTCGAGCGAGGGGTGCTGATTGAGCCGGTGGGCGAAAGTCGGCTGCATTGAGACGCGATCGACAGACAGGACTTGTCCAGCCTATCGGAGCTGGCGTCCTCGCGATAGCCCGAAGGCGACAGACCATTCGGCCTTCCTCGAGGACTTCTCGGCGATGAGGTACTGGTTGCAGGACTCGAAATTGTCAACTTGGTAGAAGTGCTGTCACGATTGCTTGATAGATTTGTAGGCGAGTGACCGCGGGTTACCGCGAGTCGTCGTGTTGCATCGTCGTCGGACGAGGAATCCTGAGCGTCGGTTGAGTCCAAGGACTTGCATGGGCCGCCTATCGTCCATGTCGACGTCCTGTGACCAGGTCGAGACCATCCCCGCTCCTATGTAAAAATTTGTACTATATATAAGAAATAAGAATATAAGAAAGAGAGAGAGATCTAAAGAAATTGAATGTTCATCAGTGATCTTGCTCATTAATAATAGGCGTTTTTAAAAAAATATATTTTGTGCTATGTATTTAAAAAAGAAAACTGGCAGCGAAACCAAGTTTGTTACATTCATTTGTATTGATAGAGAATTAGAAATTGAACAGAATATGTTAGCATATATAGTGTACTGAAAAAGAAATAGGTAAATATCGAGATATAAATCAATAGGAAATCGTTGAAACTCGATTGTCATATATGTTCAATTTTGTCATGTGTAAAACACGCTTTAGAAAAAATGTGATTGCCATTGTAGTGTGCTTCAATACCTCGATTGTATCTGCATTGGAAGCATACGCGATGATTTGATTTCATTTGATGTGTAGATATAAATTAAATCTAGATCAATTCTATTTGTTTCTATTATTTTTAGACTAGATTTGATGGTCATCTTAAAGCAGAACATATAGTTTTAAAGGATGTTATAAAGTAATTTGTAAAGACATTTTAATTGTGCTATTTAGATTAGTAATTTTTAAACTGTTTCGGACAAGAAAAGTTAAAATAATATTTTTTAACGTAGAATTCCTAACGAAGAATCTTCAAAACATAGACAACCAGACATAATAGAAAAAATTGACGTTATTTAATTACATCGCAGATTTAATTATATAGTTTTCAGCTTTTTACAAAGCGTGTTATTCGTGGAATTTTAGTTTTACGAATTTAATTTGAATGCAGGATTTTTCTCTCTTATTCCAAATAAATTATATTCTTTTTTTTTATATAGAAAGCAACTTTCAATTAGCGCAAAGGTAGAAAAATAATTAATATATCAATCTTTTCCGGGTGCTGTATTAAATGGTTTAAACGCGTTGTCGAACTTAATATAGCGATGTGGAAATTTTTTTGTCTTCTTTCGAACTTTATGTTTGCACTCTTCCACGTACCTTCTTCTCCGGTAGAATATATTTTGGCATGCCTTTGAAGAACCAAGCGCCGCTTTTCTTCCACATCTCTCTGGTCTCGGCGCAAATTCGGCAGAGAAACTGCTTTTGTGCATTACCATGGGATCTTGGAACGATTCTTTGAACGCCTGCTCGTTCCTGAGCGAATCTCACGACGCGTAACGAGCTGCGCGATGAAGTACTTGCGTCATTTTCGTCGCCGCTTCCTCTCGATGGATTAAGTCTAGTGGCCTCGATGCCGCACTTCTGACATATATATTTGCGGCAGTCTTTGCAGAGATTCGCGCTCGCCCCCAGTACGGCGCCGAACTTTTCGCCGCAAAGCGCACACGAACAAACGCAACGAGCTCCACCGGAGCACCGCCTTCCGCAACCACGTCTTTCGTTCGACCTGGTCGATGTCACAACGCATACGTTTCGTTTCATGTTCTCTAATCTCTCAACGAGTCTACCGACTCGCTCCTGTTCCGACAGATCCAGAGCCTCGGCTCTTTGTATCACCTGTGAAAATATCTTATACTTGGGACCAAAAATTGATGTCGACCTAATTCTGACAAAGTTGATTAGAAGATATTGCGCAACAAATACCCACTTTCTTGAGAACTTGAAAATTAATTTTATTTATTTATATTCAAGTTAAAAAAATGCATTGTATCATTAAATTAAGTTCTTGAATTTTCTCTTGTAAATGCAATAAAATACGTTGATTATATTTCTATTATCACGAATAAACTCTAAACTTATGTTTCCGTAATATGAGAACCTATCAAGATGATATTTTTTAATAAATGAATTTTTCAATCCCTGTTGGAAACTACAACCACCCAAGTAGTTTCTCGGTAAAGACAATAGAAGGATAAGTTGCATAATTAAATGAGTCAAATAGAATGTGGTTATATTGCTAGGGATAATTTTTGTTTACAGAGAAAAGAATAGCTAATTAAATTCTTGAGTTTTCTCTTCACCGTAAATACGGTAAAATATGTCAATTATATTTTTTATTATATTTTTTTTATTATATTTGTAATCTGAAAACCTAAATATATTGAGACAATGTTTTTTAATAAATAAATTTCAATCTTTGTTTGAAACTCTTTTTAACCATGCAGTTTCTCGGTAAAGCTGGAAGGATTTAAAATATGCAATTTTAAACCCTCCCATCTTTATTGATGCATAATTAATTGGGTCAAGTAGAGTGTGGTTATATTGTTAGGGATACTCTTGTCTACAGGGAAAAGAGCTCTGAAATTATTCAGTACCTAATATATAAATAACTTAGGATGAGCGTTCTTGAATATTAAATGTATTGCGTATTACATTTTTAGTCGTTAAATATGGATATGAGTCATATATGGTTTCATTACCAGTTGTTTCAAATATTGTGATGTTTTAATCCCACAAGTAATAAATATAACCATCTTTTTTTAAATAATATATGATATTTCTATTGTAAAATAAAATAACATGTAGTTAGTTTTCACTAGAGAGAATTCTGATTTTATTTTTGTATTAAAATAATACTAATCGAAAAATCGGAAGGAAGGCTGAAATGTGTCATAAAATGTGTCATAAAATGTGTATTGCTTTACTGTGAGGTTTACCTGGATAATGGCTTGCCGTTCATCGTCACTGAGCAAGTAAGATTGTCCGCAACGATTGGAACTGCTCGTGCAGGAATTTGGATATTGTCCCCAACCATGGGATTCGAAAGATCCCGTTTTCACAGACCATCCTGTCCGCAATCTGTGTGCCAGATTTAAGTACAATTTATTATGGTGTATTTTACTCATAAACACTTAACGATTTATTTGCGAAAAAATAGTGATAAAGATATTACGTTTCTATATGAACGTATTCTTTAAGGACGTTCACCGGCCCTTATATTAGAGAAAATCGAAATTTTATAAACTTGAAACTGCAGTGAATATACGTTAATTTAGGTGTGCTTTATGCGTGGTATAAATTTCAGTACTTCTTGCGGTATAAAAACCGAAATACTGAGCCTCAAAGTTTCAACTTTTACTAAATTTTAGTAAAATTTACAAGGAATTAAATAAAAAAATATCCTTTTTAATTTTTGAAGCAGGGACTGGATACAGATATTTCATTTTGGGAGAATATCAAAAACAGAATGTCAAAATTCTATATAAAGAAATATTTTAAATAAAAGCTTTAATTTAATATGTTTTATAACTCTTCATGCAGGATTGTTCAAAATAATATACTCTTTTCAACATATTCCTATACTTTTACTTTTACATATGTATATGACATATTTTTATTTTTGTGAATTTAAATAAAAAGATTGAAAAGCATTTTACAATAAATTCATGCATATATATACACTGCTAAAAAAATTATGGCATAGAAACAAATTTGCCGAATAAAGTGGCTAATTTTGACTGCCGGTCACAATTATCGTAGACGAATAATTTTTTTTTTGTTTAATTGAAGCTTGAAGTCTCTACTTTAAGAATGTACTTCCATTTTTTAGAAGTACGAGCTATTGTCAAAAGACGTGGGGAGGAGATGTGGTCATGCGGCCACATATAACAGTGGCGATCGTGGCGCAGAGAGATGTGCGCTGGTCTAATGAGCCGGAGAACCGAGTTCAAATCCGACCAAGACGGTTTTGTTTAGAGTTTTGTCAGATTTCGATCGCCACCTCTCGGATGGCAACTCACCGAGAATATATTGCTTGCCTATAGCTCTCTATATTTAGAGAAGGTCCCCAGGTTGGGGCAATGAAAAACACGTACGGTTTTTAATCATTAAACTCGTCGGCCGATACTTGGTCCAAAAGCCAAAAAACAACTGTAATTTTGAAGAGTTGTAATCGAGGTAGATTTTATTTTTATTATATCCGCAGTCTATATATGTATAATTGTCTGTTTTATAATAAATATTAATTTTATAATATTTTATAACAAATGTATGTGATATTATAAGCATAAATATATAATAAATGTTTTATATGTAACTTTGCGGAAAAAAATCGTAGCGATTTCGCTTTTTCTTTAAATTGAAGTGGAAGATTTGAATTTTATGACGATGCAAACACACAGCGTCTCCGAAAGAAATTTTTCCACGTCCGTGCATTCCGTCAAACTTTGCAATTTTTAGTATGCCAAACATGCCCTCAGATTTCAGGGATTACAGGGATCGGGTGCATCGCATGCAAAAAATGGATGTACATTCTTAAAGTAGAGACTTCAAGCTTCAATTAAAAAAAACAATCATTCGTCTACCATAATTTTTTTGCGAAGTGACCGGCAGTCAATTGGCAGTCAATTGGTCAATTTTTGGCAAAATTTTTTCTATGCCATAATTTTTTTAAGCAGTGTATAAAAATATTATTTTGCAGAATTATTTTTTTTTGTTAAAAAGCAAAAGCGATAAATCTACACTCTGTGCACTGGATGTCACATTGCGAGATAATAATAAGGATAGATATTCGTAATTGGATGCGTGCACAATATACAACGTATTGCGCAACATGATGACAATTTGTAATTGATTTTTATTTTATTTCTAAAATTGTGTATAATATTATTTTTAAGAATTTGAAGAGAATTATTTGCAGAATTATTTCTTCCAATTTTACAGAATTGATTATGCCGAATATAAATAAACATTTTTTAAAGAGATATATGTATAAAAGCGTTAAAAGGCGGTGACAAAAATGTAGCCTTAACATAGAAAGTTTAAATCTATAAATAACAAATGATTAAATTGAGATTAAAAGTTTCACAAACTGGAAGTATTTAGGTGCATAGCAAATTAATTCAAAAACCTTGATCGCTTATTTAAAAAATTTAAATTAAATAAAGGCAAATTAAGTTTTGAAGAATCCTCTTCAAAAAGAGCTTTGTGATACATCACTTTGTGGACAGATAAAATCACGTATTTGCGTTATTTCACTCCTACGCAGAAATGTAGAAAATACCTATTGAGTAATATCCGAACAATATTAAACTTGTAAAAGTGAAACCTTTACAATTTATTTTTGGCACATTTTATTCGGATATAAGTATTTATAAAAAAAGACAAAAAAAATGCATTCTTATTTATGGCACTTCTACAATATTTAATGTAGGTCAGAAAAACAAGATAGTCATATTATATGGATGCTCAGGTATTATGCTTGGATTTTTACCGAAGGCAAAAAAACAGAAAAATCTATTTACGCTTATTTATTTTGTATATTTTAATTTTAACTGATTTTAAACTCACACACACATAGGTATTCAATTATTTGTAACATATGTTATGTCGAAAAGTTCGACATTTCTTTTTCGAAGAAATCATATATACCGAATATTTTTTAATAAAATACATTCTGTCATATATTATACAAAAAAATTGTTCTTATATTGTGTAGTAGGTATATTGCATACTATGTATGCAACTATTTATTCTCGAATATTTATTTTTATTGTTACCTTATCGTATATATGCAATTATATTGTAGTATATAATGCTGAAAAAGTTGCTGTGTCAGGCACTACGTGAATACATGCCGTGCGCATATTGCACGATATTTACAGCTTGTTATATATATGTATGATCTCTTAAAGCAAGGTACTTTTTACTTTTTGTCTGCAAAAATTTTGAAATTTTCATAAATAATAATGAGAATACGGATATACCAAAAAGCATAACATTGAAGTGCATTAAATATCATAAGATTTTTATCTAAATGCTTTTTCACGTGTTTCATAATCTTAAAACGATATTCGTTAAAAATCAAATATGCCAAATATACCAACTTCAAAACATTATTTTAATTGAAGGAAAAAAAAGCACTTATATAACAGAATATGTTTTTAATTTTTAATTATTTTTGTAATATATTTGAAATCCATCAAACTCTCAAATGGAGATACTTCTATATGTTTCTTTATTAAACGTAGTGAAATGGTTTTAGTTCGTGTCATGTTTAGCTTCTAATTAATGTTAAAACTCACTTTGCTCGCAACGCTAATTGCCGATCATTCGGGCAAACCCATCTGCCTCGTGTTATTGGTTCATCCATTTCGCTGATGTGAGTTATTTTATCTGCAACGGACCGTTTGCTCTTCTTTTTTCTCCTGTTTTTCTTTCTCGCTTCTCTTCGCGTAGAATCAGTCTATCTGTAACAATAAACCATATACAATCTATCATATATGTAAGTTTAGATATTATTTATTTGTTTTATTGTTCGTAAAAATTATATTCGCTATTTACATTTAATAGTTATACACATATAAAATTTGGGGTTATAATATTTGTTCCTGATGCTCTCTACACTACAGAGGGAATATATAAAACTCACACAATCGAAAAATTTAAGTAGAATTGGGGAGAACGTTAAAATCACTAACCTTTAATTTGATAAATATACTGTTTGTAGAAAAGTACCACAGCATCCGGAAGCCACATGAAAACCGTTTTCCCCGAGGCAAATTGAACTAGCACTTAGCGGGTTCTGCTGTAAGATTAATTGTTTCTTCTATAAACTCAATTTAGATCTCGAATAAGAGCTAGAGCACATGAAGAACAAAAAGTAACTTGCACGTGTAGATTTCGTACCAGTATTTTTATTTACATTTTACATTACCAATAATATAAAAGTTACATGATAATATATAATGTATATATGTTTTTATTATAATTGTAAAAAATATTTGATACATAAATTCAACATATTATTTAATCTATTTTTTTATTTTATCACGCAGTTTGTACTTGTTAAAAGAATTTGATAAAAATATTTAAGAAAAATAGGTGTAAACCACAAGAAAAGTTTGCAAAACAGAAAACAATTTTTTAATTCAGATTTAAACTTTTTCTTCTTTATCGACTATAACAATACTTTCACGTCTCTTGTAAATATATTAATTTATTAATAAGAACGCAGTTCGTATACGGAAATAAATTTAATAATGGTACTTATATATATCACTTCCCTATGGATTTTCTTGAAATTAAAAAAAATTTTTAACACAGTCGTACTGTAACGCAACCCAGCTCAGCAATTCCGTCTAATCTCGTAATTTCCGAATATTAATGCGTCCAGCGTATGCGAGCATATCGACATATATCACGTGAATTATTATCTTTCTCCCCTCCCGGCTGGCGATACCCATGGCAGTTCTAAAGGATTTTTCTTCGGGCGTGGGATGCCGCAACGCCCACGTTCTCTCGTTTATTTTCCTGTTCGGCATACGACGTAATCCCTGTGTCCTCTATTGGGACTCGGGAAATTAGAAGTATTCGAGGAACGACAACGGGAATGTACGACGAGAGATGCGCGCTTCGAGTCTCACAGGAAATCTGGTATCGCCTATCACAAACGTGGTTTCGAAATGTGTTTCCGTGCAGCGATATTATCGCACCTCGGTGATAGCTTTTACAAGCGAGCTGCTTGAATTGTCGCATATTTGACGTGTAAAATGAAGGAAACGATGTATGGTATTCATACGAGCCGCTCGGTGGAACAGTAGCTTGATATGATTATATGGAAATTCTCATTTTCACGGAAATTCTCATTTTGAGAAAGAGGAATTACTGATTGTGTGTGAGAGTGAGAGTCAGAACAAAGAGGCTCATAAAGAGGCAAGCTGTTTTATTTTTTTTTACTCTTCAATATTTCTATAAAAGAATATAAATTTCAAAATATGCAAGATATTTATTACGCAATATAAAATTATATTTTTATTAGTTTGTCCGATTCATTCATTTAATGGCTCGTTGCAACATGTGTTGACGCATCTCGACATATAATATTGGCTTTTAGACGAGTTACGACGTGTGAGAAATATACGTGAGAATGAAGCGAATAAAGCGTAGCATCACATTTCTCAAGGTAACGCGAATGTAACATGAAAAATGAGGTTGCGAACTTTGTTTCTACAACTTACAAAGTTGTATAAATCAATGGTTGCTCCTCAGCCCCAGCCATAGTGGCATATTTCGATATACATATATATTATAGTATTCGTACAAACTTCCAAAACAGCTTTTACCACAGCGTTAATCATTTTATGATAGTGCATTATTTTATGATACTGTAACTTGGGCGAATATAAAGTTGGTTTTATGTCGTTCGAATTTTTTCACATTTACATTATAGACTATGCAAACTGTTCATCTATCATTAATAAATTTCAAAGATACACGTCAGCATCCTTGACTTGAGTATAGTTTGAACGTATTTGCTATATGTGTGTGTCAAATTACTTTCATTATGTTGTTGGGTAATTTCAAAGCTATTATCATTTCAAAGCGTGATATTTTAAACAATATAGCACTAGAAATATAAATATACAGCTTTATGTATGGAGCACTTGTTCCTTAAAAGTGTCCTAATTAGAATTTGAAAACGCTAATTGTGTTGAAAAGAAAACGAGGATCCGAGATTTCTCATGCTATATACGGATTAGAACGTCTTGCCTTTTCGTCTATACATGGATTAGAATGCATGCACGCATTCACAAATGCAAGTCTGCGGGATATGCAAGTTTCCCGCAGAAAATTCAATAAACTCGCCGCGCCGTCTTGCTATCTGCTGCCATTGTTCATCGCGCGTTACTCGCGCTATCATATGGTTCACTGCGGTAAAGAGAACAAAGGAACTTTCAACGAAAGTGGCTATATTTGCCTTGCAGAATCGATACTCTCATGGTGCATACCTCGCAGCTCTCTCTCTCTCTCTCTCTCTCTCTCTCTCTCTCTCTCTCTCTCTCTCTCCAAGTCTTTTACATTTTTCTTATTACAGTGACGTGTATGCGCTGCGCCACGAGCGCGTGCCGCGTTGAAAGTTGAAAAAGGAATAAAGCCCGCTGGAAAATGCAGCCTAAAGAGCGCATCGGCACGTGGTGCAAAAAGAAAGAAAACAGAGATATACATATAGGTACATATGTTGAAGTTCGTTGACGAAACTTTTCTTCGAACGCTCGATTTTCCTTAGCGACTGTCTGCCGCGTGGCAGGCGGCACCCCCCGGTGAAAAAAAAGAGCCAAATTGTGTGCGATTGCGTTATGTTGATGTCGACAATCAATCGATGACGCTCGTCTCGACATTGTGTGTGTGTGTGTGTGTGTATGTGTATGTGTGTGCGCCGCTCGCATCGAACGCGCGTTATTACGGCCGGCTTATTATTAATAACGAAAACAACCGCAGCTTTCCTCGTAACTTCCCACCCGTCATAAGCTTCGTAATTAAGTAATTTAATCCGTTCGATTACGTCGTTGTGCGAATAAATTATGCCCGTATTTTGTGAACTTTTTTGGACATACCGCGCGCGTAAAATCGATCGAAGGCTGATTCGGTATTCAGATAAATGCGTGTGTGGCGTTTATCGATGAAGAGCGTAGATAAATACGTTTTGGATGTTTATCGATAACGTATCAATGCTTGTTGGACCGTAAGAATAACGAGTGCCAATATTCCATATGTCCAACGTATCAGCGTATAGCCGTTCGTCTACATTTAAATATTGGAATGTTATTGAGGCCGATGGGAAAATCACAGGTTCTTCAAGATCATCAGATCATCAGAAATAAAGCTCAAGATTCTCTAGATTACGTTAATTTGGATGGAATATTTGGCATGACTATGTACTTAGCGTGACGTTCGTAATTAATATATAATCAATATTAGCATGATTAAACGTTATGTGTATAGAAGAACCTGGTCGTTCAGTACTTTCAGTAGACGAAAGATGCGACGAAAAACGGGAGAGGGGGAAGAAAAGAATAAGGACCGTGGACTCACGTCATAATCCGCCGCTTGCAACAGGCTGCAGCTGGTCACTTCGCCACACGGGGCGCGCACGCGTGCGGCCAGTTGCTCTTGGCAGTTCGTGTTCTTCGGCAATTAACCGTCGTGCTAATTAGTGCACGCTGCCGGCGCCGCTTTCCTAATTCCCCTCAGGTGGCACTCGACAATCGCACAGGTAGTCGCTTGGGATCGTGCCGAGTTGCCGCGGTATCGGTCAGCCGACAAGTGGGTGTTGAGTGCTGACCTGGCCAGTTGCTGCTACTATATTGTTACTGCTGCTGCTGCTGCCGCCGCCGCTGCCGCTGCTGCTGCTGCTGATGCTGCTGGTCTGTGGTATATGGTCGCCACTACCTCAGCAACTGACTCGCGCGCACGACTCCACTCGGCATCGGGAGTGATGGGATGCGGGGGAAGAGCATCGGAGGGTGGAAGGTCGGCTTGGGTGGAAGGGTGCGAGGGCTCTTTCCTCGCTCCCCGCACGGCCCGCAGGGATGTATCAAACCGTCATAGCGTAGAGAGAAAGGAGGGATAGGCGGAAGAGAGGCGGTGAAAGAGGGTGATCGCGGGTGAAAGGCATACAGGGCGGCGAAGGGTGGACAGGAGAGAGGGCTAATATAAAGAGAGGGGTAGTCAGGCGCAACAGGCGCGGATATAGATAAAACGGAGAGAGCGGAGGCATATGCTGCCTCGTCGTCATCGTCGTTGTCGTCGACGCTCTGCCATAATTGAAACTATCCCGCGCGTGTACTGACTTTTCAGCGTATCAGCCGCAGCTAGATAATCGTGCAAATTGAACGGCGCGTGGCGGCCAAGAAGTAGGCCATTCTGCGATGAATACGACGGCGTTCTCCATACAAAGCGCTATCGTGCCGGGTAGTAATTTTGTTAAAATGTTACGGTACGAGCATCTCACCGCGCAAAGGAATACGTTTGCGAGAAAAATGGTACAATTTGTTACTCAGATGGCTCTCTTTATCCTATTAATTTATTTGTATTGTTAAAGTCATTAAATATTTCTAATTATAAACGAGATGTACTTAATCATCGGGAGAATACATAACTGATTACACAATATCAACTATTTTTAATTGCTGTTAGAGTCTAGTCTGTTGATTTAAATCTTTTTTATAATTTAAAGATCTCTCTCTCTCTCTCGCTCGCTCTAGGAACTGACGTAATTGCATTGAATAATGGAATGAAATATAAAGCGGATTTCTCATACGTCACGCCGGACTAGATGTAAACTTCGTAATCACATCATTGCGTGTGTGAGTGTTTATGTGTGTGTTGTTCGTAACGCGTTTGCAAATGGTACGTTTGCCGGCGTGCACGCTGATCGAGGCAAACAGGTGTCCTTGTGCTATATCGTACTTATTGACGTGTCGCACCTCGCAGTCGTCGCGATAGTCTGGACGCAGCACGGACGGAGGGTCGATGATCAGGGAAAGTCCGATTCTCACGGGCTCACAAGATTCTAGGTCACGCAGCGAAAATTTTACGCGCCGCCGCGTAAGCATGCGCCGATTTTGCCTCGTGCCCTCTTCTCACCCTGCTGGCCGGAGGCAAAGATGTCTAGTCGGGACCGCGTATTTATTCTAAAAGACAATGGCCCTGGTAATAAATTAAATTCGGGAAATGGTATATATATATATATGTTTGTAAACTGCTCCATTTCTTCTTATTTTATATTAATATATTCAACATGATGCATATAAAATGAGCAAGATAATATAATATACTGTGGGATATTTTTTTATAATAAGAATTATATAATTAATTTAATCATTAGGTAGTATGAAACTTTATGGAGCAAAAATAAAGGCTAAATGTAATAATAATAGTAATATTGTAATATTATGGTACTTAAAAATGACGCGTTAATATTTTTCATAAAATTTGACTATTTTTAAATATTTTTAGGAATAAAAAAAAACCAGAAATACCAAGATATTAATTTTATCTATTTAAAAATTTTAGAGCTAATAGAGCTAATATTAAATGTGACATACACATATTTCTATGACAAGTAATTACTATGTATGTTAAAATTATTTATCCATTAGAATCTATAGAGTCAGAATTTTTGTCTACATAAGTTGGATGACTAAAATTATTTAAATAAAATTATAGATGCATCTAACTTTAGAATTGATAAAGAAGATCGATCGATTGACCAATCTTTAATCTTACGAGGATATAGCGTAATTTTAGCCAGCGTGGTTTATTTGTAAAATAAACACGTACATACATATAAACTAATGTACATGATCCTTTGTTGAAAATCTAGGATTCGGGATGTAATGCTTCATCGTCTTATGGCAGGAGAGCTCTCTTCCATATCATCACACTCGGAGTTAGCTTTACCGATAGTCATTGCTCTTATCATTTGAAGTAGCTGGGATCTTTAACGCTAAAGTTTTAATTTTCAAATTTAGAGTGCGCTTTACGTCATGTTTAATTTGCAATTGTCTTTTTCCTCTTTCCTTTTTTTATAAATAAAAAAAATTTTACAGAGAATAAAGCAGTGACAGCGATACGTCGGGAATCAATCCGTTCTGTTGCATTTTGTGCAAAATGGGTTTGGAATTTGGCAATTTACCGGTTCGAATTCGTAGAATTGTGTACTACGGTTTATCGCCGTTGGAGCAACGAGCTTGGGCAAAATCAATAACGCACGGAATGCCCAATTTGTTGAGTAGAGCAATGCGTGCGCTCCCAACGGTGCTCCCAGGTGTACATTCGTATCAAGATTTAAATATTTTATTCTTATAGTGTTCACGTATACATTAATACAAAAGTTAATACACAAAAAGACATTTAATAATATACTTCATTTTTAGAATTGCACTGATTGTAAAGTTTAAAAATAATAAATATGAAGAATATACATAGCGACAAACTGCATAAAAAACAAATAAACAAGATATAATTATATTTTTTATTATTTCTGTAATTTAGCAGTTTTTGATAACTAAATTATATTGTTTTATTATTAACATGTTTACTCATGTAACTAATTTTTATCGATTTACTAATTATATTTCCTTTTGCATATTAAAAATTTTTTATAATTATAAATTTATGCAGATTTTTATTTTCAAACTATCGATTTTTGATATTACAATTTTTTTCTAAAATAATTGTTTATTTTATAAGCTATAATATTTTATAAGACATGAATAACAACAACGCAGATCCAACTCAGTCAGAGAGGCGAAAAATTTTAACTTTATGAAGCAACTTGTTTTACATGACTACAATCTTTTTACATCCAGATGCATTTGCTGATTGTATTGAACCATGAAATTCGTTTTATGCCTAGTGCACTTTTCTATAATTCTGTTTTTCCTCTCTCAAAGTAATCTGAATATATTTGATTATACCAATATTCAAAAAATGTAAGATAAATAAGTAAACCTTATATTAATACACACGATTTCATTAATATGAGCCTCTGCGCTTATAAAGTAGATTACCACAATAATAATGGTACTATAAGCATGTATGAACTCAATGCAGCAATGTTTCAATTTTATAAAAATTAATTTTTAGACAAAGAAAGATCAGATATTCAGATATTGCCGCTTACAATTTTGTATTAATGCACATATTTTTATTTTTTATAAATTTGTAATGTTAGAAATCCTTAATCGGTATAAAAAAATCATCATGTCTATGTTGATATTTTTTAATCTTTTAACCGAAATAAAAGTTAATCTTTGAGCTCTTTGAAACAGTAATGTAACGTTATTAAACATCCTATGTACATATTTGTTCAATGACGTCAAGACTTCGTTAAATGTTGAATTAACGTTATACCACTATTCGTAGCACAATCGATTTCTGTCTTTACGTGTATTTTATTTTGTTATAAAAACCTGAAAATTACCACTATATAAAGGATTGATTAATTTTAAATATATATCGTATTCAATCTCTATCTACATAAACAAGAACCAAGTTTCACATTCATACATTTAACAACATTCGTGAGCGAAACTTCCGAAAACGTCTGTGCTCAGATTTAGGTCAAACTTTGAAAATAGGTTTCTTTTAGATAAGAAAGACATATACCAAAAGGACTTTTACCAAAAGGACTCAAAAGTTAAGTAACTTTTTTAACATTTTTAACCTACTGCCTCCACGCATACACTTGGAACTTTCTAACTCAGTATATTACAAATCAAAACAGCTCGCAAGTAATGTAAACAACCGTAAAGTCATATTCGTCAAAGTCATAACATAAACATCATTGGCGAAACTTCAGAAAATCAGAAACGTTGTAACCCATGTGGCAACTCGTCTCGCGTGAAAAGTGTATGCGTGGAGGCAGTGGAGCTAAAAAAAACTAATCTAACCCAATCCAATTGTTGTGTGGATGGAAAAGTACATGCGTGATTTGATTGCGTAAACTTTCCACATGTGGAAAATTGTAAACCCATGTGGCAACTCGTCTCGCGTGGAAAGTGTATGCGTGGAGGCAGTAGGTTCCACCTCCCTGCGGGGGCTCCACCACCGTCAAACTAAACACATATTGTGCCTTGCGAAGTACATGCGTGGACTTTCCACGTGTAGAAAGTTGTAAACCCATCATGTGGCAACTCGTCTTGCGTGGAAAGTGTATGCATGGAGGCAGTAGGTTAAAAATGTTAAAAAAATTACTTAACTTTTGAGTCGCTAAAAATTCTTTTAGTACATGTCTTTTTTTATGTAAAAAAAACATATTTACAAAGTTTGACCTAAATCGGAGCATATGGACGTTTTCGGAAGAACAGCCTAAAATTCAATTATTTTATTTTGATAATTTCTTATTGAACTACAAAAAGAAAGATGTAAAATTTCACCTTATTGATATAAGAATTATATTTATTGAAAACTCATATAAGTGTAGAATATCATTTTTGGGAACCATTTATCATTCCGGCCGACAATTTTATGTGAAACACAACTTTTTTAAAATTATATTTTTAAAAATATTTTCTTCTTTTTCACGATTGTCTTCAATTGTGTTTTTAATATTTTTAATTTCAGGTTTTATAATGTCAGCTGTGATATATAAATGGTCGACTGCAGCGCATGATCGATATAGTCGCAAGGATCCCAAATTATACGAAAACGACAAATAAATGCAAGCATTGATCGAGCTATTTTTAAGTTCAACAAACAATTTTTGCATCATGAATAAAATGTCTATTCGATATCTGTTTGAAATTGTTTCTAAAGTTTAATAAGATATGACGGAAATGAAATATCTCCTTAAATTGTTCATGCATTTATGTTATATCTATGTTTATACATGATACATGTATAATTTATTTTATAGGAGATTAACAAAATAAAAACTTGATTCGTATATTTAATTACGTCTCTACATAATTACTAATTACTATAATAGTATATAATTATAATTCTATGATATATATGTATAAAATATAAATGGAGAACATCTTTTTGTGCAAAATATGCTTATAAACAAGATAATAATAATATGTTTAAAAGATTCTGTAATTTTTACGTGAAAAATGCTATTTCACAACAAATAATTTATTTGGTACAATTGTTAATGTATTATAATCATTATTATCAAGATTATAATATCCATAATGCATATATATATGTATATGTATATAAAGTTACTAACTTTAACAATTGTCAATTATAAGTCATAAATGTTGTGATAGATGTAACAGAGAAATGTTAATAATCCAAAGTACATATCAATGCCACTCCTCTTTTTATCCAGTGTGATTGTGGCTCATTAATTGGAATCTCCATCGCTAAAACAAAGTTTGTGGAATATCCCATTGTACTTAAAGTTCCAGACCGCTCGATTGTTTTGTATACAGGGCATATATAAGTTCCATGAAGCGGAATTACGTGATGAACTTCCGGTAACAAGAGAATCGGCGGCATGCCTGGACAACAAGTGAACAATACTGTGCGTCATGTAAACGAGATTCAAAGTGACTAAACAATGTAATTTGCTTAGCGAAGCACAGCTATTTGTATCTCATTAGTTTAATAATATTGCTTTTAATAATTTAGCGTGAAATTAATTCTAATGTAATAGAAACGTTTATATTAATACTCAACCGGCGAATAATTCCTTTGGTAGAGACTCTACGAGATAGTTTCCGTCCCATCGGCAGCCTTTCAGAAAAAGACCGTAAATGATACAGCCATCCAATGGTCTCTGCGTTGGTTTGGAAGACAAAACCTGTGACATACAACATTTGCGCATGACTTTGCTCGGAGTATACATATATTTTTTATTTATCGATCTTCGCCAAGACTAGTATAATTTCAAATTTTTGCAACGACGATTTTTGACCATTTAACGAGGATTAATATTAATTTAGATTTATACTTATTATCAGTTGAGTAAAATAATAATTTTATCTTATTTTCTGTATAATATTATAAAGTAAAATCTACATATAATGTTTTATTCAACTTTTACAACCAAATAAATCTCTCAAATAACTTAAAATGCCTATCAATTATTCTCACATTCTATTCTCCGGTTATTTATATGATACGCGTCAATCATGTTGACCCATCTTAATTAAAAGCTGAAAGCGTACCTTGAAGCTAAAATCGATTGTGTCAACGCATACTACGTGTTTCCTCGCGAAGTTTTGTAACGTGCCAGCTAGAAAGGCTTGAGGACAATAAAACCCTGATAGCCAAAATGCAGGCGGTATACCTTGATCTTGCCATTCCCTTATAAATCTAATCCTTTCTTTTAAATCGATGAACCATCCGGCTAATCAAAATAATAAAAAATATTTGTTATAATAATCTGGCCTTGAGAATTAAAGAAAGATTATATTATATTGATTGATTTGTGATCGAGATCTTCCTACCTAAAGATTTTAAAGAAGGATAACTTTTGCTTTCCCAATTTGCGGGGATTTTATTATTATAAAGACTGGTAGCCATCATTTCGAGCTGTTCCGATATGACGACAAAGCCTCTTAAAGCTTTCAAAAGATCTTGCAACGTTGATTGCACGATTTCGAGTAAACTGTTATATCGTTTGGCCTCTTGTAGTAACACGGTATTAAAGGATTCCTCGTACAATATAGGATACCTGAAATTCAATTTAGTTTATTTACAGATTTAATAGAGGAGTTCTATCTTCCTCTTTCTCCTTCGCAGGTGTTATACTTGTTTTGAAAAGATTGAACTTTGTTTGAAAAGTAAAAATTTTTCGATTTTTTACGTATTGTACATAAGAATGCAATTTTAGGAAATCGCATTCATGTCATGAAATAACTATTATATCTTAGAAATTTTGAAGAGATACTTTTATCAAATTTCAAATTTTATGATAAAATTGTAAGATGCTTTTTATTTCAGATTACAAAATAGCAATGGTAAGAACATATTAAAAAATAAATTCAAAAGCAAAAATGTTTTTGCTTTTTTATATAAAGATATCCAGCAGTACCTCGCTTGCATTGCGGTTAAATCAAATGGTTCAGATATCGTGGACAACATATCCTTAGTTATTTGACTTGTTACTTCCTCGACACTTGCGGTAACAACGCCAAGTTCTCTGGGTTGCATGTTTAATAAAGTTGCGAGGCAAGCATATGCTTCTGCTTGAGCGCAGCTTATATCAGCGTTTGAATGCATGCCAAATAGTGATGGATCGTCGTTTAAAGGGAAACCTTTTATGTATTCTAGATAATCGTTGAACGATGCTGCAGCCGGTAACTTTGTACATGAAAACGTAGCGTGTTTTAGATTTAAGATAAAAGCGTACTTAGTAACAATTTTGTTTATGAAAAGAATGCTTCTATAAATGTTCTTATATTAATAGAACTATATACATATTGAAACTATATACATGATTATATAAATTTAAAAAATGTTTGCATACCTATATATTTTAAGTTAATGCTCACACAAGACGTGTGAAAAAGTTACAGTTTTATAAGTGAATAATCAAAAAAAGTACGTTGTATAAAGGAAAAATATAGCTTTGGCTAATTAAAATCTAAATCCCAAATAATACTAACTTTACAATTATGAATTTTTAGGAAAAGAAAAACATAATTTTTATTTTTTATTCTCTCTCTCTCTCTCTCTCTCTCTCTTTTAAACTGTTTTTATTATATCATTAATATTAAAACATAAGTTTTAATTTATATAATATGACGTTTCTTGATTTTAGGTCAAATAAATGTTTAGTATATTTTTAACATTATTGGAATTGCCATGGCTTAGAAGTTAATTTTTTAATTTACATTAGATAATTTTAGAAAATGTTTGTTATTTTATTTGAATATGTATACCTGATGATAAATCCCTTGTTCGTCAAATTGGTAATCTTGAAAGACGACATTTACATTGTAATAGTCTTCGAGAAGTGTCAGGACACATCGGCGATCCCAATCATCTGTTATTCGTCCACCGTAGTTAATATGCCCGGCCGTATATGTGAGAATCTTTGTTATATACAAATAATAATACATATTTAAGAATTAATATTTTAATTATTTTAATTAATGTATAAATTGATCTCAAAAACCGGTAAGTTTAAGGATTAAATAAAACACATTCTGAGATTCTCATGTTATTACAAACGTAGATATTTTCCTTAGCAAAATTATATTATATAAGAAATGCTCACAAGTTAAACTAAAATTTCTCAAATAAAGAATATAAAAACAGAATCGCGTATTTAATATTGACTTTATATTCGTCAGGGAAAATATAAAAATATCGTTGTTTTCCTTTTTTGAAAGTAATGTCAGTTTAGAAATGATAGAAACGTTTTGCTAAAGCTATCTTTTTTGCGCATGATCAACAGTTTACCTTGAAAGGCAAAGTATCGTATTCCATGAGAAACATGTACAATTGCGACAAACATATAGCTAAATCCCCGTTTGTGAAATCGTAGGATATATTGAAACCCAGGAGACCAAATTTCCGTCTCTCGATCAGGATTGAGTGAAACATGCAAAGTGAGAATATAAGCCGTTTGAATGACAGAGCTTTCAGGTGATCAGGTTGCAGAAATTCTTGCATTTCCATGACTTGCGTCAGATATGCACGTAACATGTTGGCCTGTGTTAAGAACGAGAAACAAGAAGAAAGAAATTATAATAACGAAAACGAATTTTTATTTATTTTTGTCATTTGCGTATTTATACCGTGATGTATTTTATAACGGAAATGTTTTTCTGTAAACGTTACAAACATTTATGAAAATCGATTTAATAAAGCGTATAAATAAAGTGATATTTTACTGCAAAAATTTCTATTGATTATATTGAAATGATATGATACACAATTGGACCTTTATGCCCCGCGGTGGTTCAACCGTCATTTTGCTGCTATTTTGAAGGATACTGATGGGAAAGTCGGGCGACGGTGCAGATGTCAACCACAATCGGAAGTTTTGATGAGTATTTTCAGATGACAACGTTTCGATGAGAAATTCGAGTTTCGGCATCCAACTTGATACCAAATGGCAATTCTGCAAAATTAAAAGTATTAAAATGACATGTATTTTATACAGTAAACGTATACATCAAATATATTTTAATTTTTCAATGATTTAACATATATTATATAACACAAATTTAGCTTCTTTTTACTGCTACGCTATTAAGGACACCTCTACGCAGCTCAATAAATTATATCTTTTATACTTTTTTGCTTTATATATTATCGAAATAAAGTGAACGTTCCTTTTTTTATAAATATGCTTTTACTAAAGAGAAAAGAATATTTAAATTTCTGTTTTTGTTACAAAATAAATGGTTTTAAAAAACAGTTTTTATATTTTTGTGGTGTCTGGTACTGATTTTAATGTATAACACATGAAATGAAATGGTTTTCTTGTAGGTTCTATTTTGTTATAGATATAAATTAATATTTATTATAAATTTTTGCGAATTTTTTCCATTAATTTTCAAACTTTTCTTTTGTGATAACTAATATATAAAACAGGTTACAATTTTATTTAATTTTAATGTTTGAACATTCCATAATCGTTTTTGCAAAAAAAATCGATTTACCGTTACCTTTGCGTTTTTCTTTAAATAAATAAAAATTAAAAAAAGAAAAACATTTTTTTATATAATAAAAGCGATATTAGTTTTTTTGTCAAAAATTATTTAAATTTATTTAAACTATTACTCTAACATAATTAGATTATTGGCTGCATTTAGTATTTTTTGAAAATATAGGAAACTTAAGTTGCTTTGACGTGATTATTCAATCAAAGATCATTCAATCAACAGACGCTTAAGTCATTTATTATAACGTTAAAGTGATAATTATATATAAACATGCATAAAGTTTATGTCCTAGAATAAATAAATTTAGCTATCTAGAAAAAAAATTAAAGAAAGAAAAATAGCTTCTAACTTGAAAGAAGAGCCAAGTGCCCATTTCCGCTGATTTCTTTAGCATGGCTTGTGCCCTGAGTTCCTGACCCTGACCAAGAGATATCGAATGTAACTTTCCTTCCATTTTTAACTTGTCGGCAAACTTATACAACTCTGCGGCCGGATCAGTACCAGGCGATAAAATAAAAATAATCGGTGTGGTGTTAGATGATTCCTTATAAATTGTTAATAATTCTGTGGTTTGAGGCTCGACGAATTGCTGACCAAGATATTTTGTCATATAGATTTGTATAGCGTTGGTGACCTTGTCGGGTCGTAAGCATTTGAGTACCAGTAACTTCTCAAAATCATCGAGTTTCGTCTTCCATGGTTGAGGAAATGGTGCTCTAAATGGGTTAAAATTTTATTTTTACGCATGCAGAATTTTAATTTAAAGTCATCTTACAAATGGAAAAGAAAGGAGAGAGATCTTAAAACTTTTTAATACTTAATACAATACGAACTATGTTGTGCAAATTCTAATAAAAAAGTTCTTGCGGTAAGGGGGGAGAGAGAGAGAGAGAGAGAGAGAGAGAGAGAGAGAGAGAGA